ATCTCATGAATGGTATCTCTGAAAGGCCTTTGATCCTCGGACAGCACAGTTAGATCAGTAACAGCAGAAAGCAGGTAAAGCAAATCATTCCACTGTTACTTCTCCTTCTCAGCATATGGTTTTACAGAAGCCTAACTGCAGAGCTTCAAGAAGAACCCCAAGTAGTTTAGACACAGCTTAAAGTTGCAGTGTGATCAGGCTAGACCCTTTATACAAGTAATTGCCTTGTGGGTGTTAATATATATATATAAAAATACATATGCATAATACTAACAATACAATACAAACGTACATTCTTAGGCTACTGTGATGTGAAATAAAATATTATAAGTTTAACCTACGACATGCATTTTCACTACCAGTATTTCATCACTGCTACAAAACTGTCCTTAATAAAAGAGGATATTGATCCAAATTATAGTGCAGTAGAGAAGAAATGATCCTAAAAATACTTACTGAAGTCACCAGCGAGAAACACTGCTTCTGCTCCTGGTGCCCACTCTTTGCAATATATTCCACCATCTGCAAATTGGTTAACTCCAAAGGTTTTGTAACTCTTGGAAAACTTATCAAGGCCGCCTTCATTTTCCTCAATGTTCTTCAAGTGGTTATAAAAAAGAGAATACCTTTCAATGAAGAAAAGACATTTTTAGAAAGTTCAGTATCTGTCTTTCTTACATTAAAACGTGTAAGGACATTAAAAAAGGAAACATTCAGTGAGACACTGTCACTCTATATCCTAAGACTACAATATCCGATTCACCGTTCCCTACAGAGGAATAGAACAAATACCAACCACACAACTTCTCCATGGTTACTACACAGTGCAAAGTTGCAATCATCACGTTTGTATTTTCTCTACTTTATGGGAATAGTTTGCACTTTATACTACAACTCCTGATTGGCAGTCAAGAAATCATACTATTACTACACAACAGGAAAACTTCACACTCGGAACAGCCTAGTAATTTTTCTTCCATCTTAACAATGCAGGACGAAGTCCTCCTAGGGAGAACTGTATAAGCCTGCTACACCTCTCACAGCCGCTTTTAACAGACAATCTCAGGACACTGAAAAGTTTGCAGTACAGCATGTAAGTATGGAGAAACTAAAAGTAGCCTGGCACTCGCAGAAAGCAGATCCTTATGCAACCCTTTAGAGAGGCCAACAGCAAGACTTTGCAGCCAGCTGACACTTCAATGATTTGGAAAACAAAATTACCACTTGATGGAAGTAATTACTTGGACCATATTCTACTTATACCAGAAGGACTTGAAATGCCTTAAACCTCTAATGTAAAAATTTGCTAATAAAATGTTTGATATATTTTGCTCTGTTTTTCACAAAGAAGCTCCCATCTATTCAAGAAGCACACATCAGGTGTACAATATAAACAAGAGGGTCAACTTTGTCTAAGATGTGAGCTACTATGTGAAGAAGCACAGCTAAAAGCTTTAGTTAAGCATTTAATTAATGCTGCACATATGGGGCTTTTGTTTAAGACAGACATCCCCAAGGTAAATTAGAAATGCGTTTATGTTCTCCATAAATGGAAAGGAGACTTCTGAAATGCTAAATGCTAATAAGAATCCCATCAAGAACAACTGGTCTGCCTCGTTACACTTACTGCATTTTGAAAAAGGAAACAGCAACAGGAAAGAAGCAAAACAGCGCTACGGGATAATGCCTTTTTAGTAAAAAGGAGGCAGCCATTTGCAGTGTCAGAACTTGGACACTGCACTCTAATTTGTTTTGAAGTTATGTTTTAGAATTGGCCCTTTATTAGTTCAAAGTAAAGATTAAAATGTCTATTTACTGGTTTAGGTAAAATAACACTACCTATGCTAATTTAGCATACTGGGACTACTTCTAAGGTTAATCTCCCAGCAAGTTTTTATTATGAAGACTGATGCTCACCTTTAAAATCAGCAAGATTTGAAAATGCCCCAGGATACACTATAGCAAATACACTTACAACTTTTTGCCCATCCACCTGCATCATTCCTTCAAAACTTGCTCATGGGTACAGTCCTCAGAAGTGCATTACTAACTACTACTGCTCAGCTTCATTTATGGTGGTTGAGGGAGAGTATTTTGTCAGATTTCCAAGTGTAAGTGTATTACCTACACACGCAAACCCGGATGACTGACTTTCGTTTTAACCAACTGCAATCACAGAAAGATTCATATAAATAAAGTTTAAATACAGAAACACCGAGCAAGCCACAAAACAGCCTCAAAAGCTCAACATATGGCATTTGGTAAAGGCAAAATTACTCCATGCTTGAAGGGCTCTTCTTGGGGTGAAAGGGAGGGAAGTATTTTGATTTGTATAGTTTTAACATTTTAAGCCTTCCTTTAACATATATAGTTTACGTGAAACAAGCTGGCAGTGCTATCTGCAAATTCCTATTTCTCAGAAATACATAAGCTGTTTCAAAATTGCTGCATGTCACATGCGTGATTTTTTAACTAGTTCCACTGCAGCTGAAGCAGGAACCCTTCTGTGTACACTATAGGTAGCTATTGTAACTCCTGAAAAGATCTAACTGAAGCAATGACTCTGACACAATTATAATAGAAAAGGTGTTCTGGAATAAGTTATCTACTTAAAATTAACCTTTTCTCCCTGTACTTTGTACAGATACATATTCACAGCTTTAAGAACACCTTTGGCTGGATGCAGCGTTTCCCACATTCAGGACAAAACGGTAAGACTCATCCTTAAACACAAGTCAGTCATACAAATCTCTGCAAGCTGGAGGAGGAAGGAAATGATACATTTATTAACAGAGAAGAACAGCAGATCACAGAGAAGGACTTGAAACCTCCAAACAAAAAAGAAAAAGGGTGTGATACACTTCATATAATCTAGAGGCACACACATGCCAATGGCCCACCGTTCTTCCTCTATGAGTCCTCCCGGGCAAAGGGGAATCAAGCCCATTTATCTCATTCCAAAGAAGTAAGCAGCAAACAAATGCAGGATTTGAGAGTGAGTTTATGGGGTGGAAGGGATGAAAACGAACTTTCAGAAATCAATTTTGTGATTTATGTCTTCAGGAAAAAAACCCACTGATAGTAATAAACACCTTGTAAGCTCTGGATTCTTGTTATAAAAGCATGACGAGTACATCCACTGGTTCCAATTTTTGTCTTTCACTAAACGCAAAGTTTAAGCAAACATTGAGACCGTGAAACGAAGAGGTCATGATACTTAATATGTGAAATCATCATGAGTATTACTGTAAGACTACTCCTTTTACTTACTTTGCAATCGTGGTGAGCAAAATTACATGCTCAATAAAAATCATTTATTTTGGAGGAGGGGGAGGTCAAGGAAGGGAGCAGATTAGAGAAGTTGCTCATCAGGGATGTAAAACGTTATTACAATAATAGCTTGGTGACAGAGCAAGTTAGGTCAGCTATTACTTGCTGCATTATCATTGCAGATGTCATGACTTTTGAAACAACAAATGGTCTCCACTGTTGGTTTTAAATTATAATCTAGAAATCATTCAGTTTTAAGGTTTTAGGCTTTTTTAACCACCTCCTGAAATTGTCAAATATAGAACTGCAGTTTGCTCAAAGTTCACAAAAAGAAACCCACCAGCTTCTGGAATGGCTCAATTACTTGTGCTGTAAACTATTCTGAAAATTAATCTCAGGAGATGAAACTCATCCAGACTCAGAACAAGGTTATCTGCCATAGAAGATCTTGTGAAACAGCAGAAGCAGAAGGAAAGGATTGAGTGCATGCTTATGATCAGATTAAGGAAACATAAGGTTTTGCTTTCACAGAAATTTTTGCTTTTATTTCTACACTACTGAAGATTTGAAAGACTTTTTTTATCTGCCAGACTGAAACTCCACGATTACACACAAAATGACAGGAAAAAAAATGTTTGTTCCAAAGATTTATATTGTTCACTAACAGCACGCAAGTGTTAAAAGAGGAGAAAGAGACGTTACATTGTTAAGACTGGAAGTTATGTCATGTTCAGTTATGCATCTATACTTCTATGACACATGTATAGTCAGACAGACCCTGGACACATGGGACACTTCAAAAGTGAGACAATCTTGTAAAATTCTGGACATATGATCAGAGTCAGCAACAGCATCCAGAGCTACAAGACAGGACAAAAGGCTGACATCTGCTTTCACGCTTTTCAAGTCTTCGCAGCTTAATGAGTGACTGCAAAACCTTACGATTTTCCCACTTCCCTGCAGTAAAGTTGACACTGAAGAGGATTACAAGGTAAAAACTATACCCAGGTGTACCTTCAAAAGTACAACCGTTACCTCTGGGACAAAAAAATAAACAGAGCAACAACAGGATCCACATAACGTCAGGTATGGGGATCTCAAGTAATTGGAAAAAGTTGTACATTAAGTCTCTTACTACAGGCAGGTACAACACATATCTGACAAGTGCAGACAGCAGAAGGGGTCTGCTTTCAGTGTTTTCCTTACTCCTGGAGTTCTTACGAAAAAGCAAGCTTTTCAATTCAAGTTCCATATCCATTCATCTTACCTTTGTTAACACACCAATGGATTTTAGAAGTAAAATACTGAAGTTGTTTTCGTCAGACTTACTGGAAAGAAAGAGAGTCTTAAGCATTTCCCCAAATATATATACACCCAGCTTCAAACAAGACATTTGTTAGCAGAATCGTACTTTTACACCAGCATTATTTCCACTACTGTGTAACTGTGAAGTACTGGTAACCGTAAACATCATTTGAAACAGGGTCATGACAGTCTTTTCGTATTGCTACATTCGTAATTTGTAACACAGCATTGCTTTAAATCCCATGCTTTTTATGCAGCTTTGTTTAAAGCCTTACAACAGAAGTGTAGGAATTGGCTGACTTTCCATAGCAGGAGGATTAAAACATCAAACATGAATTAGTATAATGGCTACGCAGAAAGTATCTTGCCAATAAAAAAGCCTTTGTAGTGAAGGAGCAAAGGCAGTATTAAGTCAGTAGACACTTCAAGGGTTTACATTTCAGGTGAGCACTTATTCCTCACACTTCTGTCACTAAAAGACCCTCAAATACTTTGTCTTAAAAATACCTAGAGATCTAAAATTTATACAGTAGAAGTATACAATTATCAGAAAAAGATGGCCTAAAGTCTTTCAGTTCAATGCAAAGCTATACAGTTCTTACCCAAAGAGTGCTGGTAACCATGATACACAAAACTCCTGATACTGCAGTTCCTATCAACCACTAACTTCATTCAGCTATTGATCCCATTAAAAAAGTCTCAGGCATATGTTAAAATCAGTAGCTTCAATATGGAGGATAAAAGAAATTTAAGCCTCCCCCTTCATCCCCAAAGCCAACTGCCTTAATGAAATAAGACTTTTGGCAGACTACTGCAGAAGTCTGATGGTGAATCAGGATACTGAATTAGGGTTCACATAAAGCCTTCAGGTCTTTATTCTTCCAAGCAACCACAGGTACTAACTCCTTCCCGGCCACCTTGTAGAAAAACAAAAAGGTATTCTAATATTCTAAACTTAGATTTTAAATCAGATAAACTTTAGTTTCTTAGGCATCACAGTAATCTAAACAGAAACTAGTATACCCAAAAAGACCTTAGCAGCATGCAAGAT